TATATTTTTTAAGTTCCGTAGTTTTAAATAATGTCTTTGCAGGTCAGGGAAAAGTGCTTTTATTTCAGAATAACTTGTCCGGAGAAATGTAATTATCACCTAATAAAATTAAGATGCCTATTGATCATTTCAATTTCTTAATGACCATAATTGCAGTCTGGTTTGTTTTATTATATCTTTATATACTATATTAAGCAACTTTGTAATTCTCAAGGCTCATTGCATGAAGCACTTTATTATTACAAAAGTGTGATTTTTATTTTTAATGAGCTGTTTAATTTTTAATGGCAAAATTTCCAAAAAACCATGGAATTAGGCCCCATTTTTCTCTTTTACTGCCTTCTGTTCCCTTTAGAAGCCAGGTATTGACTGTTAATATCAAGTACCTATTTGTACTAATAAAGCACCCTGGGGACTTTGTTGCAGATAGTTTTAGGACTGCACTTTTGAGGAATACCATAACAGATGAAAAGGCACAGAGATCCTAACCAACCACAGTTTAAAATAGTCACTTGTATTGGAACAAAAGGGAGCAGGTTGTGATAAATTTTTTTCCAAACTAAGCTTACTTCTGTGTCTTTACACTTACTGTTTATCAGCAACGAAATTCAACTGAAAAATTATTTTCTATATATAGTCTGTATTTGAGTCACATAGTCATTTATAACAAAAATAGTATGATTGCCAGGAAAGAATTTGTCAAAGTACACAAAAGAGGAGGTAAGTGAAACATTTCTAATGCCTATAGACTAATATTCTTCAAGGATAAACCAGCTCAATTTAAGTGGCTATGTATATACTGGTTCATCATGATATCTGAAGCATATTGAACATTTGGTTATAGACATCTTAGTTATTTTACCTGAATCTTTTGTTTTCATGTTACATCAAATTAGGATGATTTAAAGGGAGTGGTGTGTAACTTATTCGAAATTAATTAATAATTAACTACTAGAAATTTAAAAAAAAACGTGAAAAGGAGACCACCTTACATTTAAATTCAGCAAAAGTTACCTTATGTTTCCACTGAAATGATCTCTACTCTTAACTGTTTGTCTGAGAGGCCAGGAGCTGATGTAACATCAGTATCCACTAACGCTTGAATTTGTGTCCTTAGCATGAAAAATGTGTTTGGTAGTAAAGTCCTGATTTTCATAAGCATGGTTATTAATCTTTCAAATCACCTGTGGTTGGGGCCGGCCCGGTGGCGCACTGCTACAGTGCGCCGCTTGGGAAGTGTGGCAGCGCTCC